TGGAGATCGAAAGGGAAAAGTTTGACAAAATTAGTAAAGAAAGTGATGAAAAAGTGCTCAAATTGAGGATCGATTTAAGGAAATGCGAACAACAGGTGTTGCTATTGAAACAGAAACATCAGGGAGATGTCGATGAGTACGACAATCGACTGGATTTACTTAACAGTCAGTTGAGACAATCGACTCTCGCCGCTAAACAACTCCAACAAAAGTAAGTCAAACAAGAAATTCACTTAAAACCCATTGCTTGTGATCATTAAATTAAATCCTTATTTTTGGATATATTAATGAAATGGTTGTATAAATCAGTGATTTTTATGTTAAAAAGTTGGGCAATTATGTTAAGCCTAAACATTTTTATAAAACCCAGTGTAACCAGTTCTTAATAGAAAGTAATGGTGTAATTAAATTACCGCTAATTTAATGTAGCCATCGATCATTAGATACAATTAATTTCAAAGTCAAATTAATAATTAATAATATAATTGTACTAAACATTAAAGTATTTTTAATTACAACTCACTGTTGTTGAAGATCACCTTGTTCGTTTTACGAGTCACTCAATGGCTTGCAATTTATGTGTTTTGAAATATAATAATTTAAATACAAATTCAATTATTAATTGACTAAAAATATGTTTATTCAGACAAAAAATATTCACAAAAACTTGCGATACATTCGCGATTAGTTATGACTTAAAGTAATTACATATCAAATATACATTAGAGTTATTAAATGATGTTAAATTTGAGATTAAATGATTGGGATTTTAAGTAAAAAGTATTAGTAAAATAAATTTGATGAACACTTATTAAAATATATATATTTCTCTATTATTTCTTAGAAATCATTTGTTATACAAAGAAATCCTAAATATGAAGAACGGAACGCAAAATACAATGAAATTAAATGAGAACTCAAACAATAATAATCATAAAGAAAGTGATGGCCAGAAGTTCGGGTGTTATATCTGTGACGACAACATTCAAACACTGCAAGAATCGTCGCTCGACTTTCTGCTGACACAGAAATTGAGTTTCGATGCAAACAATGAACACAAACCCCATTCAAAGAATCCTTCCATTCCTTTGATGAGAACTCAAGAGAACGGTTCCAATGGAGAACATAAACAACAAACCGAAGTGCCATTCAGTGATACGAGTCATGCCATAAGAATCACTCCAAACACTTGTGCCAAACATAATAATAATGATAAACAAAATGCCATTCAATTAATGCATGCAAACCATAGCAAACAGATAGCGGACACTAAAGCCGAAGACATGAAAATCAACAAAAATACTTTGAATTATATTAATAAACAAAAAGAAGAGCACATTTCGCACGAAGATTACAACAAAGACATATCAAATACATTCGATGACTGGTAGACATGATTGACAATAAATCGCGTTTAAGAGCTATTATATACACAAAAAATTTGTTTATAAATTATTTACTTTTCACGTCAGGAATAATGAGCTATAATTGAGATATTATTTGTGATTAAACTCGAGGTCCTTTACACCCAAATGAGTCTCTATTGTCTCGTAAGCATTCTTCAGGAGTGACGAAAATAACAGCAAATTTCTTCGCCTCTCGTTCTCTATTTCCTGTCATTAAAAAAATACATTTTAATAAATATTGTTTTCATTGCAAAAATGGTGTACTTTTTTCTGTTGTATTAAAATACTGTTCAGAGTTTGACTCGAAGTTTGGCGAACGGCGTGAGAGTCGATATCATTGCCATTAGTGGACACCGTTTCGCAAACTATGGACGAGTCGTTTGCATTGATAACTCTGGTCTCGAGAGAAGACAGTCTCTGTTCCAATCGACTCATCGCTGTTTCAATGTTTGTACGAAATCTGTCCACCGTTTCGGTCAATGTTGTGATCAACGCCTCATTAGATTGCGTTGGAATCACATTCGGAACCGATTGACGCGACTGTGAATGCAATTCACGGATTTGAGTGTCCTTTTGAAGCAACTGTTGCTGTAGTAAAGCCTTCTGTGTCTGCAATGTCTTCACGTCTTGCTCTAAACGATTCACTCGTATGTGATTTGAGTCAACGCTTCCGTTATGAGTGTTGACATCGATTAGAGTCGACGGTCTGTTCATAGAAGTGGTCGCCATATGAGAGGAAGTGGCCGTCGGTTCGCGTGAATACGAGGACTGTTTTAAGGCAGGAGTGCATAGATCTCGGGCTGTGGTCAGTAGCGAGACGTCCGGCAGATCTGTCCGTTGCTTAGGAATGGCTCCCGTCTCACGAATCGGCGCCCGAATCATAACATTAGGCCGAGAATTGTTGGCCACAATCGGCCCGTTGTTGAGTAGACTCTCGGGTTCCTCGTGAGTGGCCTGACCTGAATCCACACGTAATAGATCTGAGAGAAGAGATGGACGCAAACCATGATATTTGACTGACAGTCGAGACAATGAGCGGTGAATACAAACCGGGAAACACCCAATTGGGCGGACCGGCCATCGCCTGAACCGATTCGGGCGCGTCGTCTTCGGGGCCCTCGAAGTCGCCGAAGTCGTCGTCTTCGGTGGCGTCCGTCGGCTATCAATGGTTAAGACAATTGAATGAATGAAACAAAGTGTGCATTAATTAACAATAAATGTCTCACTTTATCCTTATTTGAGCTCATATTCAATGACTTGTAATGTCTTTGAATAACAAATGCAAACAAAGAGTCAATTCATGAAATGGTTTATTATTTTTGTTGTGATTTTGTAATGAGTTTTGTGTTTAAAATACGGAAAACATAATTGCATTCAAAATCCAGTGTTTTATTACAGAAGTAGTGATAATGCGATCCAATGTGTCGTTCAATCCATTCATAAAAGCCATGAAAATAATACATTACAAATGCTTATCATTTGTCACCTATTTTTACCACTCATTCATATATTACGTGACGTTTGGAATGAGGGGTGAGTTTTATGGGCAATGTATTGACGCTTTCATTACAAACCCATTAAATGTGTATTCATTTCAATGATTAACACTTCACTCAATACAACACTCAATAGTAAAGGGTTTTTAATAAAAGGCATCATTTGTTTGCGTTATTAATGAGTGTTTGCTTTCAATGTAAACAAATTGTTGTCTAAATTGTTAGTCATTTCGTTGCCATCTCTTCACCGCAAAAGTGGTATTCATATTATCATCGGTTGAGTCCAATGTCTGCTGACTTGTGGTGTCTGTACTTCTTGAGCGTATGACTGATCTATGATATGATATCGTGAATTGTGGTCAATATCTTAGTGTCTGAGTTGCAACTCATTTGACAGTCAATCGGCGGTCGAAGCGATTCTTATGGTTAAAACACATCTCCTTTTTATGATATGTATTGTCAGCGGATTTCTATTGACTCTTCAACTCATTTCACTGCAACTTCTTGTCAGAAAAGTATTCAATTGATAAGCAATTGTTTTCAATGCTTTTATTTCTAATGTTGTCTTCAATTGAATCTATAATTTAGGGCCAAATCCAAGAGAAGAGTTCGTGGGTATGATTGATATGAATGCAAACACTTGTGAGATAATGACTAAACGATGAAATGGTTATTTTGATTAGACTCTGTTAGATGTGGTCACTCTTAGCGCTAATCAACACTCAATACCGCTGTTTCTGATCGACAGCGAAGTGTTGAGCAATATCTCTGCGAAGAGCGCTAAACCGATTCGTGATTCGTATTGCAATGTGTTGTGTACGGGCCGTAAGATCACACATTTGGCCACTTTTAGTCAGTTCGCCACTCAATTGCTGATCAGCCGATTCATCCATTCAGTCAAGTCTAAGGGCTTCACTGTATTGGAGTTGAAAGACTTGGACCCAACTCTTGTCCACTTTGGTCTCGAGGTCTCGATTCCCACGCATTTGATTGTAATCGACGAGAAGTTACACATCAAAAAGACTTATCATGTCATACATATTGCCATATTCTATGAGCGAATCCAATCGACCAATTGGTGGTACGGAATGCTATCACTCACTGAACATCAGCAGAGATTACTTCACAGACAAGGCATCCGAAAGTCGTTTTTCNAGTTACACATCAAAAAGACTTATCATGTCATACATATTGCCATATTCTATGAGCGAATCCAATCGACCAATTGGTGGTACGGAATGCTATCACTCACTGAACATCAGCAGAGATTACTTCACAGACAAGGCATCCGAAAGTCGTTTTTCAAAGTTTCCCATTCGAGTGGTATTTATGACAAGTAATTGACTCAAACTTTTGTCAATTGTTTGGTTGTATTAATGAATTGATTGTATAAATAGAGTGGAAATAATGCGAACCACAATCGATGGTCTAGTCTTGCATTTACCGAAACCGATGACACCATTCATGCAAAGACCAGAAGACGTGGAGTTTATTGAGTGCAACAAAAGTCGGGCCAATGTTTTTCACTCGAAATACGGTCGCGAAGACGACGACTCGGCGAAGATATTCCGTACAAAAGCCACTCATTTGCTGACGAAAGTGAAGCGTATTTTGGATGAGCTGTCGATTCCTTTTTGGTTGAGCAGCGGAACAGCTCTCGGATATTACAGACAATGCGATTTCATAACGTATGGCAAAGACGTCGATATCGGCGTTTGGATCGACGACTATAAACCCGAACTCATTGACGCTTTTTCTGTCAATGATTTACCGCTAATCCATAGATTCGGCAAAATTGACGACAGTTTTGAGCTTTCATTCCTCGACAATGACATGAAATTAGACGTATTCTTCTTCTATAAGGAGCAGAACTACGTCTGGAACGGCGGAACTCAGGCCAAGAGCGGCAATAAATACAAATATATTTTCCCGCCGTTTACTCTCTGTTGGACTGAATTCGTTGACTTAAAGGTGCGGATCCCGTGCCAGACGTTGGCCTACATTGAGGCCAATTACGGCTCCAATTGGTTCGAACCGATCAAACAGTGGGACTGGAAGTCTAGTCCATCCAATGTCGAGCCTAACGGTCAGTGGCCTTCAGACATGTGGAAAGAAGTCATTCAAAATGAAGGTTATGGGCTTTCTATCGTGATTAGTTGAATAAAAAGTTTTGGTTTAAAAATTACGTAAATAAAGTTGACATTATATGTAATGTGAATTGATATTCAAAAATATAAAATAATTATTAATTTATAATTAATAGTCAATTATTAAATAAAGAATTATTTAAACATTTTACGAAATTATTGGCCATAAAGTCAAGTAAAAAAGTTTTCATGAGATATTTGTTATATCAATGAATATTTGAATGAATTGTTGGAGAATTTGATTCTCTGCTTCGAAACAGTATTAATAATTGAAAGAAATGATAAAAGTGTGTCATTTTTGCCAATAAAGCAAATGATTTGAATAGTTATGACAGGACTGAGGAGTGGACGGAGCGCTTAATTCGTACGGTTCTAACGGACGGCTTAATAAATACTGTTGTGCTGATTGAGGGGGCGGTGGAGGAGGGCTTATGCCAGACATCGAGCCATAGCTTTGAATTGAATTACTTAACGAAGAAAGTGTTGCTAATGAAGAATAATTAACAAAATTTCTATTGTTATCGAGTATTGCATTAAAGTTTGATTTGTTGTTTGCGTTCACTTCGGTATGATTTGAGCGGTTATTAGTGTTTGCTTTCGTCCCTTTTGTCTGACTAT